ATTATTATTATTAATAATAATAATAATATTAATAATAATAATAATAAATGCTGTTATATTTAGGGGGAATAAAACACCCAGGTATTTTATTTGAAAAAATATTTTATGTATTTTATATATAATGCATAAAATAGTATTTATACTTTATATTATACATATATAATACATAAATATTGCCATGCAAACAGAAAATATAAAGATAATATAAATAATTATCCTGTCATAATAATAATAATAATAATAATAATAATAATAATAATAATAATAACAGTTTAACAAAATATTATTAAAATCAAAATTGCAGTATTTTTTTGTAATTGTATTAATAAAAATATTTTGTTAAACTGTTATTATTATTATTATTATTATTATTTTTATTATTATTACTAATCCTGATATAGATAAATACATGTTGTTATTAATAGCATTATAAACTTTTCAACAGCAACAATGATTTCTATTAATATTTTGTTATACAATTATTATTATTATTATTATTATTATTATTCCCTGATTAGTGATAGAATGACTGATGGAAAAATCCCATAGACTTAAATGATTTGTTTAGTATTATTGCAGTTACTGGGACACCCATCTGTAACCTGAAAACCTCACTGGCCCATTAGGCTACAACCACACTAACCACGTACCCAATAATACAGTTACATACAGACGTGTGGCATATTTTGGTGGATTCTTATTATGTTGTCCTAAAGCAATCCATCAACATGTTGTGCTTTGCGCAGCAGGGAAGAACAAACAGGGTCTCTAGAGATGAAACCTCAAGCAGCATCTCCTGCGCATCCTCTCGCGTTACATCACATAACCCAACCCCAGAGCTGTGAGGGGCCGGGATTCAGCATTCTCTCTCTCTCTCTCGCTCTCTTCATCACAGTCAAATTCCCAGCAGTCCGCACGTATATCGATCCTCACACCTACGAAGATCCCAACCAGGCCGTCCACGAGTTTGCCAAGGAGATTGATGTGTCCTGTATCACCATCGAGCGGGTTATTGGAGCCGGTGAGTGAGTTATGAGCAACTCAAGCAGCATCTCCTGCGCATCCTCTCGCGTTACATCACATAACCCAACCCCAGAGCTGTGAGGGGCCGGGATTCAGCATTCTCTCTCTCTCTCTCGCTCTCTTCATCACAGTCAAATTCCCAGCAGTCCGCACGTATATCGATCCTCACACCTACGAAGATCCCAACCAGGCCATCCACGAGTTTGCCAAGGAGATTGATGTGTCCTGTATCACCATCGAGCGGGTTATTGGAGCCGGTGAGTGAGTTATGAGCAATTAAAACAAAACAGGCCTTAGGAACAGAAGTACAATGAGAAGGAGAATGTTAGATGGTTTGGTTTTCAAATCTCATCTTTAGGCCTGACTGTGCAGTGTGTGTATGAAATGAAATCTGTTTAGATACTGCGGATATCTACTGTATGTTGGGTTGAGAAACTGCTTAGCAACACCTTAGCAACCATATAGCCTTATATCTTTTAAAACTACTACTTAAAGGGATAGTTCACTCAAAAAATAAAATTTGCTGTTAATTTACTCACACATTTACTCACCCTCAGGCCTTCCAAGATGTAGGTGACTTTTGTTCTTCAGTAGAACAGTAAGTAAGATCTTTACTTGGTGATTCATAAAATCCAAGTCAGCTGCTAAAGTCACTTTGAGAAAAAAGAATCATATCAAGGTACACAAAATTATTACCCGTGACTTCCGACAATATATTGAGGTCTTATGAAGCGAAACCATTGGTCTGTGCAAGAAACTGAACATTATTTACAACATTATTACCTGTAATCCAGAGCCTCAGCCAAACGGTCCGGAGTGAAGTCCGGTACACAAATGAACCATTCTTTTGAACTGATTCTTTTTGGTGAACCAGTTTGCCGAATCGGACTGAACCGTCTGAAACAGTTCAATGCTCGAAGGCAGCACAGCTCTACAAGTTACTCAATCAAATCTCACTTTCGGATGCCTGACAATCAAGTAAAACAGAACGAACCGAAGAACTGATGATATGTGCATGCGTGAACCGAACACTTGAATGAAACTTTTTATGGTTTCTTACAGTTTATGTAAAAAGTTGAGCTGATGAAGACTAGTTCAATCACTTTATTTGCTTTAGACTCGTAAAAACGTATGCATTTTACATCATTATTAGGTGCTTTAATAGTACAATTGTCTATGCGTTAGTCATTGTGAGATTGCATAGACAAACTAGTGAATGAGTTCATTGAAACAAACTGTCTGAAAGAACCAGTTCGCAGAAAAGAATCGGAGTCTGAATTAGGGGTAATGGTGTAAATAATGTTCAGTTTCTTGCACAGACCAATTGTTTCATTTCATAAGATTTCAGTATATCGTCAGGAGCTATGCGTATTCATTTTGTGATCCTAGATATGCCTTTTTGATTCTCAAAGTGCTGGTAGCCGCTGACTTGCATTTTGTAATTGACCAAGGACCACAGTTTTCAGTTTCCTTTTTAAAACAAGAGGTTTGGGCTAAACATTCAGTTTCAAATCCTGCTCTGAAAGTGTCGCATTATAAATACAGGCATTCACTGCCAGACTTTATTCATTCAGAAGGAAGCGAGTTCATCCCTCAGTAGCTTTGCACTTTGTGGCTTCGCGAGGGAAATCTGCCCGAGCACAATGAGGCATTTCATTGTCTGGCTCTTTGCTGCCGCGGTTCACTGATGGCTCTGCTTGCGGTTGCAGGTGAGTTCGGTGAGGTGTGCAGCGGTTTGCTGCGGCTGCCAGGGAAGAGAGAGATCCCAGTGGCCATTAAAACTCTGAAAGCCGGTTACACCGAGAAGCAGAGGAGGGATTTCCTGGGCGAGGCCAGCATCATGGGCCAGTTCGAGCATCCCAACATCATCCACCTCAAGGGGGTCATAACCAAGAGTGAGTGCCGGGATACCTTTGATCATGATTGCTTTTGAAAATGATTGTTTCAGTATTACACTGTAAAACGGGTTAACCTGCAATTGGTATCTTAAAGAGCTGCTTATACCAGATTTTACCCTTCAGTTTAGTTTTGTTGGTGTAACCTAATATGTTGATTCAGTAATGTTAAATAATGTTTTTGGATTGAAATAAAAGCAGTTAATTCGATGTTACCACATGGCACACATTTTGTATGCTACCAGTTTAATGTAGACAATGTCACATAATAATACTAACCTATCAACGACCTTAAAACTGAAATCTGTGTGATTTATTTCTGTAAGGTAAACCAGTGATGATAATAACAGAATATATGGAGAATGGATCCCTGGACACCTTTTTGAAGGTACATTTTCTGCTTTTTAGAAGTACAGTAAATAGTCATTCTGTGAATTTCATGGGAATGCCATGAATAATTACACTGGTTGTACTTTATTTTACAGTACATGGCTGTACTTACAGTGTACTTACCTAAGAAAGTACTGGATAATATAACATAACATGGGTTAGGATTAGGTTTACGGATTGGTTCAATGTTAGTACCTAGTTATTACCAGTGTTGGGGGTAACGCATTACAAGTAACGCGAGTTACGTAATCAGATTACTTTTTTCAAGTAACTAGTAAAGTAACGCATTACTTTTTAATTTACAAGAGAATATCTGAGTTACTTTTTCAAATAAGTAACGCAAGTTACTTTTTTTCCAATTTATTGATTGACAGCTCTCCTGTCCCAATGTTGAGAGAAATCAGAAGATATTACCGTAGTTCTAAAATAAATATGAATATATATTGATTAATCTCACTCACAAAAAAAACACACAGATTCAGTATTCCTCAAAATGAATAAAAATAATGCAACTCAGAATATGACGCCAACCTGCAATAATTAAATGTTAAACAACACTAATATGCTTTATGTATATAATACCATTCTATTAACCAATGTCTTTGCTTATCTCACTCACAAAAAAAACACACAGATTCAGTATTCCTCAAAATGAATAAAAATAATGCAACTCAGAATATGACGCCAACCTGCAATAATTAAATATTAAACAACACTAATATGCTTTATGTATTTAATCCCATTCTGTTAACCAATTTCTTTGCTTCTGACCTTCGATGATCCAGTTCAACCGTACTAATAAGCACAAATTACTCTAGACAAACATTTGTGTCTTTGTTTATTGCTGAAGTGTGTTGAAATGTCTTCTTCTGCATTCTACTGTACGGACGTAAATGTACTTTCCTTCAGCCTGAGGCTTATTCATTTCAATTTTGGTGTGAAAAGGCTTTTATATTTGCCAAAAATATAACTTTTTAATTTTAAAAACAAAGAAGCAAGCCCTGTCCAGATCTGAAAAGCAACGCAAAAGTAACACAACGCATTACTGTTGTAGCCATTTAAGAAAGTATTTTTATTTTTATATTATTTATGTTTAAATATTATTTGTTTAGTTCAATTTGCTAATTAAGAAAATTGTAAATGTCATAAGGGCGTGGTAAATTGGACGGCAGTACGCCGGAAGAAAGGAAGTAGGTCAGGCATAATTTTTTGACCACTTCATACGTTTTTGTTTGTAGAATCCCTTTTTTCGAACGAGTTTCGTTTGGTATAATTTGTATCTTAATTTTAATATGTTTTTTGTTGATCAATTATTTACTTGAATAAATGAGAAGAAAGAATAAGCGTTTCATGGAATGAAGTGCGTTCAATACAAAGCCCGCTACCATGCTTCCGCGGCCAAAACAAAGGCCGAAACACATTACTTTCCATAAAAAGTAACTAAGTAACGTAATTAGTTACTTTTTTTATGGAGTAACGCAATATTGTAATGCGTTACTTTTAAAAGTAACTTTCCCCAACACTGGTTATTACCCAGTTATTGTAATAAAGTGTTGTTATTAAAGTCTTACTGTCAGGGGTGGTAAAGGAAGAGGAATCAGTTGCAGGGATAACAAGGATTTTATTGAGATTCAAAACAAACAGGAACGTAGCCACTGTCCGAGAGGGGAATCTGGAGAGATCCCAACCAGGTCCGGGGAAGAGAAAGTCAGCTCAACAGCAGGTATCTAGGAAAAGGGGGTTGCCAGAGCAAATGGCCGCAAGTAACAGTCCACGAGCAACGAGACAGTCCAGCCCTCCAAGTAATTCCAGAGGCCAGAGAATGGCGATGGTGGGAGGGAGTGGGAAAGGAACTCCAGGAGGGTGCAGGGAACGCTGGGCAGCAAGGGGAAGGGGGCAGGAGGCAGACAGAAGGGAGTCCAGCAGCCAGGGCAGATGGGGGGCTGGAGAGGGCAGAGGGGAAGGGAAAAAACGAACCCAAAACTAAATGGCTGGAGCTAAAACTAGGAACTAGAAAGAACTGGGCTGGATCAAAA